GCAACGAAAGGAGAAGAAAAAGACACGCCGAGAGAGAGAAAGAGAGATAAGAAGTATAGAAAAGATGCAGTGGCAAGACAGATGAACACACGGAGAAACTATGCGACACCGGTAGCTCTAGCGACCATGGGAATTTTATGATATTCGCTCTATGCACGCCCGGATCGACTACCTATATATATATCCTTAAAAATCGAGCCCTTCTTCTTTTTCTTGTCGTGCACCGTTTGTTTTTGACAATTTGCCGAAACGTTCCGATTCTCGATATTTTTTGTTGACTATTCAAAGCGACATTGGAGTTTTCGAGAACGCGTTCTTCGCACTTTTTTGAAAAAACAAAACATTAATAACGATGACAGCCTCGCAATCCCTTTTAATCTTGGAAATTAAATGTAAAATACTATACCTAGTTCTCATTCGCACGCAAGCTCGTACGCGAGATGAAAAATAAAAGTATCAGGGTGCTTTGCACGCGTTACAACGCCGCGAGCACAATCGCCAGCATGTGTGTATGTGCACGCAAGCTCTGCTTTTATATAACAAGTCTCCTCTCTCTCTCTCTCTTCTGGCTCGGCTAATTTGCCGTGAAGCTTTCAAGTCGTCTCTTTCGAGCACGTAGTAGAGCTCCCGCGGGCTCGCGTCCTCGTAGTTATATGCGTGATACAAAGCTTAAGAATTTCCAGAATTCTCTCAATCTCTCTTCATACGCTCGACGCATGATGCAAGAAAAAAGCTTGTGCAGTGTGGCGTATGAACTAGGCAGCCTCGCACTGCGCGATGCGTCTCGAGTCTGCCACGGCTGTGAATTGTTAAACATTTTACTTGAACTCGAAGTCTAATGTTATTTTTTCTGTCTCGGTGGCTAACTAAATGTGCTTAGCGTTACGAATTATTTCATCCTTTTTGAAAGATCCATAATTCCGAAGCTTGTGTAGAGAAAAAGCTGGACGGTAGTCTAGAGCCCGTCCACTCGAGTCACTTCGATATCGCTCGCGAGCATTACGGTGAGCTTTTCTTTATGGCATAAATAATGATAATCTCGACGAGTCACCGAGGAAGCAGCATAACTCAACTGCGCAAAGACCGAGTCATATCCTACGTACGCTAGAGGAGAAGCATTTAGTACTTGCTAAATGCACATACGCGCACGTCCTCTTTCATAAACATGAGCGCGTTTCCTGACCTGCCCACGTTTTCCTTAGCGCGCATATTATATAGGACGCTCTTGTGCCCTTTTTTCGTATTTACCCCCCGTAAGTATCAACTCGTCTTATTCAAAATTCGGCCAAGTTGGATACAATAAGTTTCCTGCTTTTCTGTGAGCAAGAATCTTTTCCGCTTACCAATGTTCAAGTTGCGTCAGCATTATTTACGAGGATATATATTGCTAAAACAACGTTTTCTTATATTACAGTAGACATTTCCCACGTTATTTTTTAAGCTTTTCATTTTAACACGTATGCGTGAGTGATGCATAAAATTTTAGGGCTTTTCAAGGTACTAGCACCCAAATTAGCTAGACCATCCCTACATTTTGCCATGTTCTCAGAAATAAAAAAAATCGTCCTCGAACCCCCAAACCCTTCGAATGCGATATTTGTCAGAAATCATTCCCGCTCAAGAGTTACCTCAAAAATCACATAAATGCAGTTCATAGCCATAGCAAACCCTTCTAGTGTGATATTGGTTACGAATAATTTGGACAAAAATGTAACTTCAAAAGGCACATATTGACAGTGTATAATCGGAGCAAATTTTAGAAGAGTGAGATTTGCGTCGGAGATTCTTACCCAATAAAAACTTCTACAATCATAAGTATACTGTCTAATTTTTGAAAATTTATTACATAAGTTTCCTCCAATTATTCGAAGATCAATAAATTATTTCAAACTGGTACTAATTATTTCGTATTCAATCTCTACTATTGTTATTCGAGTAGAAAATCCTGACCTTAAAACAACAACGATTCATTAACATCGTTCGACAACACCTACAAGCGTTTTCCGTACAAGCGAAAGATTGAAAAATTACAATTGTTGATAAGTAAGCTCTGTAAGTAATGACAAGTAAGCTCTTCTAACGCAATCTAAGTACATCTTCGTACTGCAAATTCTCATATTAAATGTGTACTTGTGAACAAGAGTTCATGTATTATAAATTTAAATACTCACGCTTACTGCATCGTTTACCACCTACCGAATTTCAACGTCTAATCACAAAAGGTTAATTTCGATAACGACGCGATCTGACCATTACTTTGGTAAGTGAGGGTTAATCTCCTTTTTTTAACTTTACTATTTACATTTACATAATATACTTATATGATGATTAACAATCAATGAGTGGAGGTAAATGTAGATCAAGCTTTTGAACACGTAGAAAAATCAACGAAAAGGAAGCGTTACTCAAAACATAGGTTTCACAGGAAATTCGTGTCAAAGATAAGCAAAAGTAAGAAGCAGGGCGCAGAGCGAAACTTTTTTCTCGCTCTCTTTAACGAGCTCACTTGTTATGCATTTCATTATAACACTTGTAACAGGGCGCATTAAAGGCAATCGTCTCTCGCCCGATACAATCAAAGCTTGTTTACGCGAGCAATAAAAGAAAAAGCACATAATGACTCAAGTGCGCAGCTATTATCAGCCTTGGCGGTTAATAATTGTATATCTATCGAAAAGCATGAGAAATGAGGAAATGTACACTGATCTAAATATGCGCTCGGCGATTATTATCTCGCCTTTTACACGTATCGTCGCTGGCGACGCTCTGCACGATGATCAAGAGGAGCAAAAGGCGTAGGCTTTCTCGTTTCGATCCTCTCTCTCTCACACACAGACACACAATATGCATGCATGGGAGACATTAGAGGCGGCCGAGGCGAATCCTTCGCAGTGCATGTACGTACGCGCATAGAAACAGGATTAATATCGCAGCTTGTGTAATTAAAACGTGCCCATGCGCGCGTATTTGCACCGGCTTATATGCTGCACATATATTATGTATGTAAAACGAGCTGGTGGATAAGAAAGATGTACCTTTATCGGTACTTTATCTGGCTGGCAGTCGTCGAGGCAGCGACTTATTAGGGAGAGCGTCTAGAGATGATAAACTGCTTGACTCATGGCTCCGTGACGCGCATTTACGCACTTTATTACTCCTGCGAAATCCCCGTACCCGTGCCGCCGCCGGCTCGTTCCGATATGGGTACTCTAATCGATTGAGAAGTACGTATGAAGCCTTCGAGCTAGCCCAAATAACTTATTAATGTAAATATCCGAGGATCAGCCATTATTTTCTTCTACTGTGAATAATACAATGGGAAGCATGAATTAACAGATCTCCTTTAGTATTCTTTGTAAAAGTATATGACACCTTTTTCGGATAAAGGTCCTTTCTGGTAACCACCGCAGCATAATTCGTAAGTACAATACAAATTTAAACGTGATGATCTTTTCATAAAGCTGCAATGACTTGCGCAGTAATTGTATGGATTTCTATTCGATTCTATTTTCCCCGATCGTAGAAAATTTTTATTTCTATAATTTGCACAGCGATAGAAAAAGTGAAAAGCAGCAAAACTCGAAAAGACCCAAAACATCACGTATAGCTCATATTTGATATATTAACGCTCGTATCGAGGCATGAGAAATCGCCAGGCTGCTGCATGACTAGGCATCGGCTTGTATATTATGTAGGCAGCGAGGCCCTTTTGCCACGAACGAGCGCATGCAGCCCTCGGCCAAGCGACAGACGCGCACACGCACGCACGCATACGTACAAACCGCAATAAAATTAAAAGGACAAAAGGAGCTCCCATAGACACGCGCACTTTTATCGTGAAAGCTCGCTCATTAACGCAATATATACAGCGTACAAGTTGGCCGGTGCGTATAGTATAACTTGCTCGTGCTCGGCGCAGCTTCTCTCCCTCTATCTCTCCTCTCTCTCTCTCTCTCTCTCTCTCTCTCGCTTGCTATATCCATCGAATCGAGCCGTATGTACGTCTATAGGATCCGCACGCACGCAATCGTGTGCGAGCCTTTTCTTCAAATCCTAAGGAGACATCGCTGCCTCTGTATATGTTGCTGCTGTGCGTCCTTTTGCTCCTGTGCAGCTGCTCCACCTCTATGCGTATAGCACAGCTAATACATTTTACAGAATGCCAGCCCATACATAATGAAAGACCGCGAATATAAACTCGTGCCTGCGCGCGCCTTCCAAGGATCAATTGGGATACAGGAGCTGGCAAGATTAATGGCTGGAATGGGATGCGAGAGAGACTTTTGTGCATGAAGGGAAAAAAGATTTTTCCCCACCCCTACGAGCCCCTTTATATAAATAGGTAATAAGTCATCGATGCTTCGGTACCGTACTATACACAGTATCGTCAGGCAGTAACGTTTGCTCTCGATAAACATTACCGCGAGTATAGGCGCACTCTTCTCCTTCTCTCTCTCTCACTTCCTCGCAGCTTCGATAACTTTTCGAGTACGAAGGTAAATATTTTCGAGACCCAAAAGATACGTCTTCTTTCTTTCCTTTTTTTCGGGGCTGAACCTTTTTTCCTAGCCATCGATTGTTTAAGTATCTGGAATTGAGATTTTTTGACACTTATGCGATATCTAAATGTTTTCCACGTGTCTTTATACCGCAAATAAACATTCCTTTGTTATCCTATCATGATGCTTGAAATATTGATTTAAATCAATTTTTTACAGATAAAAAGAAATCTTAAAATTACCTTTTTAATAAAAAACGATTTTTTTCGATTGGGGTTTCATCCTTCAGTAATCAAAGATTCAGATATTGTCACACCTAACAAAATATATTGCGCGCACCCATGTTCTATGATAGTTAAAAGACTCTACATTTGTCCGGTCTTCTAAATATTAATGAAAAGAAAATAATGTTGAAAAAAATGTGAATATGAACATCAAAGAACTTTTATCTTAAATATAGTGGAAAAATTGAATCGAATTAAATTTTTAAAAGCTTTAGTGGTGTATTTTTTACTGTAAAAATAATTCGACGATTATACAAAGAAGTTTGTCCTCTGCCCAGGGCTTTCCAATGATTTGATCAAAAACACAATTTATCGCTTTTCCGGCTTTTTCACTTATAAAGAAATGTAAAAATGAGTTGTATGAAGGATAATATAAATTAAGGTTGAGTGCTTGAGAGCTTGTAAGTTGCATAACGTTGTTGTAAGCTCGTTGTGGCATCCATGTGCACATCAGTGTCTAAGCTAAGGTATTGAAGCGAGTTTGCATCTTTAACAGAGTGCCAAAATGATTTTATCGAATCAGACATACTAGGTGTAGGATTTCTGTAAATATTAGACACATTCATGAGCTATTTTTGTCACGATTATAATCAGGACTTTCAATGTCTCACCCATCTTTGGCAAAATTGTACCACATCTCTATCATCTGCTCCATTAATCTATAACTCAATGTTCCTGGCATAATGGTTTGTATGCCAATTTTTTCCTGGCCGTAAGCTCTAAACAAATTTGAAAGTTCATCTCCATGTACTGCACCTATTCTCGTAACAAATTTTATAAAAGTTACTAATTTAAAAAAATGCAATTACTGGTTTTTATTTATGTACCTATTCCACTAAATGTGCCGGAAGATTGAGCAAATGGAAAATCTCGATTAAAATCATATCGGTAAAGATAAGTTGGATTTTGACCTTTGAGAACTCGTTGTCTTGCTATTTCTTGTACACCCTCAACATATGAAATGTCACCCCAAATATCTCCCAAATTATAACGATTATTCATTTGCTCATCAAAATAAAAGCGAATCAAATCTTCAGTTGTCATACTATGTCTTGACTTTATATAATCCAAAGAATCACGTGGTAAACTTCTTTCAATATCATTGAAGAATCCAGGGTAATTCATACCATATTCTTAAAGTGTTGAACATTTTTTTCGTATTATATTTATAGTTCAAAATAAAAGTGTAAGATTTCTTACGGTTTTGCGATGACTTCAAGCTTTCTTGATTATTATAACCAAGAAGTATAGGTACATCAGAACCCTTATCAGCTGCTTCTAAAATATCTTCCGCTAAAAATGGATTTTCAGCTTTGGCGTCCATGCTTGGCAAAAATAAACGTCCCTGTAAAGTAGATAAAAGTTCAATTTAAATAGCAATCAGTTTTTATAAACGAGTAATACCTCAAAGTTTGACACTTCCTGAGCAACATGAATCAAGTCTACATAATAAACTTTTCGCAAAAAATCTAAAATTTCCTTGTGATCACTAGAGCCCATTCCAAATTGTTGATACACCATTTGAGAAATATTTGCATTCGACATTGTACGAGCCCATGGGCTGTAGACACTACCGCTTTGAATAATTGCTTTATCGAATAATCCTGAAAAATTGTATGATTTTTTAAAGATTATACATTAGATAATAGCAAGTGAAAATTTCTCCATACCCTTAGACATAGGAGAAATTGTTAAATAATGTACAGACGAAGCACCGGCATCTTGACCAAAAATTGTAATTTTATTGGGATCACCGCCGAAATTTGCAATATTTTCTTTGACCCACTTAAGAGCCATAACTTGATCTTTTAGTCCAAAATTACCCGAAATTACTTCATCATCTAAGCTGAGGAACCCTTGAAAAATTTATCATTTTAATAAATTATTAATAATCTATTAAATACAATTTAATAGAACCAAATAATTAAAAATCATTCTTAAGGAACTAAACAATAATTACACATTTATGTATTTATTCGCTTTAAACAATTATTTAACTTTGCCACTTGCAGATTTAGATATAAAGATACTCACCACCTCGTGGCGCAGGCAAAAATAACTAAAAACAAGCGATCTGTAGTAATGTAATTTTAAAACATTTAAATCGGTAATTTTCAATCATTAGGCCATTCAGCGCCAGGAATAGATTCAGAGCTGCAGCATTGCAATTTTTTACAGATATACCTCACTATACACACAAGTGCACCCACGCGCGCGCGCATGAAAAAGCAACTCTGAATTACTTTTTGCCACAAGAACCAGACCGTTCTTAGTAGAGTAACGATATTTCTAACAGCCTGCAAGTGGGCAGAAAGGCGCATAGTTTCGCTTCAAAGATCAAATTCTACGCTACCTAAAACTCCAAGTCTGTAATTGATCGTTACAAGAACTACATCCTTTCGCATAAAATAATCAGGCCCATAAATATCACTATCACCGCTGCCTCGAGCGAAATCACCACCGTGAATCCATATCATCACTGGTTGCTGGGCTGCTGAATCGGCTGATTTTGTATAAACATTCAAATAAAGGCAATCTTCATTGCCAACCACCATTCTCGAAGATCTGAGGATTTGGGGACACATGGGACCAAAGAACATGGCTTCTCTTGTCTCTGTCCATGGCTCCATTGGCTGAGGATCCTAAGAATATTTTTTAATGCCTTCAATTTGAACGGTTGTGTTCGAACATTAATGCCTTACTTTAAATCGTAGATCGCCGATCGGTGCTTTGACGTACGGTATACCTAAAAAAGAGCAAAACTCACGACCTTCTATGCTCATTTCCGGAACGCCACGAACTTTACCCATTTGAGTTTCCACTACGTTATTTTTACAGGCAATCAGAACACAAATTTGATGCATTATCAATAAAAGCACTAAACTTTGACCACAATTCATTTTGATTTCTTTGGCACAGCTATTGCGTTCGACTGTCAACCGTCAACTAGACACATATTTTTACGATTGTTTTCGAATCCTTCTTTCTCAAACAATGGCCGATTACATAAATTGACATTGATTACGGACGATGATAAAGCACCTAAACTTCAGTAGTACGACATTGGGCTCAATGATATTGTTTGTAATGATGTATTTAAATAGGAAATTCATATTATTTTCTTAAAGATACAGAAACTACGAATTTTTGATAGTTTGTTAAACAAGTTTATCCTTCATTCATACAAATATAATGAAACGTTTAAAAAGAGCAATCAAAAATCACTTTTTTCGTCAAAAACTGTACATCATGCTTCGCTGAGGTGCGTCCCACACTTCAAGACTTGGGTTGATTTTGCCAGACGAAAAAAGTCGAGCAGCGCATCGATGTATCGTCGTTATCGTAAAACTTGTCTATACAACGTATACGTACATGTAGCTCACGATGGTCAACAATGAAAACGCTCGCTCACCTCGGCTTCTCGCTCTCTAGTCGTAATTCACAAAGCCATAATTTATGCATCTTCCACACGTAAAGTCGTACACGAACGCGCGCACACATACACACACACACATACGCATACAGGTAAGTAGTAATGCTAGTTAAGTTTGACTTGACCCATCAAATTCATTCGCTCGTGTGCTAAAATATGCTCGCGAGCTTTAATTATTATTTATGTAGTTTTGTGATTGTTGCGCGAAGCTGAAAATCTCATGGGGGCAAAGGCGTTGCCACTCGGCGCGCGCGAGCTCGCCTCCATATATATACGCCGATTGCCGAGTTTCCGCATTCGCGTGCCGCATTGTATATTCTCCGTGTCAAGATGTTACACCAAAAGTATCGGCTTGGATTATAATTTACGGCCCGTGTCCGTAATAATAACGCGGATAACGAGGGCGAGCCTTCGTTTGTTTGGAAAAGGGGCAATTATGCAGGCCCATGCGGTCAATGTGTCCATCGACATTGACCAAGTGTTACATGCTTATAATTCAATTGTACTCAGACGTTTTAATTCGACTGGACTACAGATGGTAGACTTGACAATTATTGAAAAAAAAATGCCGAAAAATTTGTATGAACATAAGGTATGGCATGTGGCCATTGGGATTGTTGAGTTTGATGGAAAAGCCACTTTTCTGCGTCAGATGGCAAGGGTTAAGAAATAGACATTAAAAACTCGTAATTAAGAGTAGCGACAGCTTTGAATCATAGGTACATTTTTTTCTATGAATATTTAATTGAACTTGAAAGGATTAGACCCGAATTGAAATCCATCCTTCCAATATGAAAGTATATGACTATCGGAAATGTTTAAAAGGCTAAACGCAAGTAAGTATAGACACAGTCAGATACAATATATGAATTTCATCGTTGCGTCATGACAAGGTTGAGGCATTCGTGTGGCGATCGCGCGTATGCTGCAGATAATAATTTTAATGACACTGCATTATCGGTTGGCTGCTGTCATACACTTGTGCGTATACCTGCTGGACTCTGCGTACAGCCGCGTGATCCGCTCCATTCTAATGTAAGTCCTCTGCTGTTATTGAAACAACAAAACAGATGTTCTCTCGCGTGTCACTTCAATCCGCTTTTGACCTAGATGTACGATGTATACTGTTAAGCAAAGAACATTTTTAATATGTATCGAAATGCATAGAATAATAATGCAAGAAATTTCACGTTCGTTATCGGTACCGAGCAATATTCGATGATATACATACAGTCAATACGTTTGAACTCACAAGATTGAAATATTTACTAATTTCCCATAAGTATAATGTCATGCATACTTTGATTTCATTACAGCACAGTGCATAAATTATACAGTAGTTACTAAATATAAGCGAACTAATTGATTCGGGACTTTGATCTTCCATTTAAATGACAAAAAGTAGCGCCTTTTTAATGAAATGGTAATACATCCGTTTAGTACATCACATATCTATATGAAATGAGTAGTGGTTATTGACATCATTTATTTTTAAAATCAACTCAGCTCCTCTCGATTTCTTTAACATTTCTTTGAAGTCTATTAAACATATTTAATATTGAAAATGGTGTAAAACTTATATTGGACATTTTAATAACAATTTTATAATAAGATTTTCTTTCTGTTCTAACATATACAATTATTTTTTCTTTTCAACTTGCAGATTTACACTCGCCATCTAGTGGTAAAGGCTTAAAGTGATATTATTACATTTAAACAGATCCAAAGGCAAAAAAGCAAGTTAACGGTAATGTTTTCAGACATTTTAAATTATCATTTTTTAATCATTAGGCCATTATTATTATTAAGCATTTCTGTTTAAGAAGTATTTAAGTTTATAGTAAAGGTAAAGTTATTTATATTTACACATAATATTCTAGTAGAAGCAATTTGTCGTGGAAAAAAACTTAGAATAAAAATGTAAAAATTAATACATTTTTTATTTTAAAAGTAAATTAATCTACTTTAGTTTTAAATATACTTAGCTTCTAAAAATCATCAAATAAACTTTATCATTCGCACGTAGATACACTTGTCAAGTTGTAAATAACTCAGCAATGCATACTTCATTGTCCACATCCTTCACATTACCCCAAGTTGAAAATGTTTGATTCTCTGCCAGTATATATTTATACGAATCGAGCAGAAAAAAATATTCATGTCAAGCCGAGGAGAGCCTGCACGTGCGATCCACTGGAAATCTGAAAACTTTCATTTATATATACATTCGCCACCTGCTATATAGATTCTTCATAATACGATTGCCTTAGAGATTTTCAGTATTATGAAACTTTGTTTTACTTTGAATCCATTCGTGTGGCGATGACGCTCGGCGCAGCGTATATAAGGCGCAAAGACGTCGACGACTGCAGCAGGCGAGATAATATAAAACCTTTTTACAAACGTCAAAAACTTCTCGTCCCGCGTCTTCACAGCAGCTTGATAAGAAAGTCAAACATCAAGAAACTCCAGCAGCTCGACTTACTCGAAACCAATCATAGACTACCATACTTTTGATAATCCTTTGAAAAAACGTATATATGTATATAAAGTTGGAAAATCCGCCCTTTCAACTGTGCGATGTTATTATTAATTTGAATAAGCAATGATGGTAATTTTTTTCTGAAACACTTTCACTAATTGAAATTACCTGCAGTGGCGTTGTCAAGTTCGCGAGGATCAAAATTTTACTTATCCGATTGCTATAAAATATTCAAACTAATTATAGCAAGACTGTCTTTATTTTTAATACGTAATAGCAATACGAAATCCTGATTCCTCAGCGAGGAAAATTGTATACTGCAATGCTTACTTCCTCGTGCGTATCTCACTCTCCGATCAACCTGATCTTTCAAGTTTTCCAATCGGAAATATATACATACGAAGATTTTACCGTTACTTTATCTCGGCGAGGCGCAATACGCACACGCGTGACCATACGGGCAGGGAGGAGCTGTCGTTGTTTTTGGGCGCGGGAAAATCCGATAAACATACCTATAATATTAATAAATCGAGCCGCTGACACTCGGGTATGCAATCAGCTGAGTGATCGAGTGGACAAGTAATTGCTATATCGATAGACGTATTTCTGTTTGTATGCGTGCGTGTGCGTGCGAGTTTCGGTGAGCTCGTGCATGCTCGCATGCGAGTTTGATCATGCGACGAAGAGTCAGAGAAAGAGAGAAAGAGAAAGAAAAATGATTGCGCGTCATGAGATGCTATATATTGCATTCGTTATAACGTGTATACGTGGGATTCGAATGTATATGCGCTGATTAATTATCAGCTGAGTTTCGTGACATTTGGAACGTCGACATATGCCAATGTATTTCGTAATTTGCAACTGATAGCTTGTTTGTCAAAAAATCGAAGAAGAAAAATACGATTTTGATGCCAAATTTCTTTCCGACACCGAACGATCAAAGGAAACGTGGAAAATTATTTTGCTTTCTCATAGCCAATGAGCAGATGTGACGCATAACGTATTCGCGCGAAATGCAATTTCGGAGAAAATTTTAATTTCAATTTATTACAGAACTGTATTAATAGCGTGAAATACAATTTGAAGTTATAATAAATATATTAATCTTTCATTTATAATAAACTTATATGTTGCAAAACGAGCGACGGAACTGCATAAAAAATTTCAATAATCCCGGGCGTATATATAACGTTATGAGCTTCGCGCGCGAGTGAATTTTAATGTTGAAAATTACTCCTAGTGAACATCAACGTATATAGAGTGAAAAAAATTAAGAAATTTAACGTCAAGGCAGTAAAATGTTAATCTCGTAAATCTCGCTCTTATTAACTATGAGATTATTAAATTGAAATCTTTAACTTAATTGAATCTGCGCTGCGATGCACATGATATTCGTTATTGTTTCTTTCTTAGAATTAATCGCATAAATTATACGCATATCGTTTCGAACAACTTCTGTATCTCGTCTCACAATATTGACACAAAAAAAACATCAGTAGACTTATGAATTATATGTTATAACGGTTGATTATATTATTTGGGTATGTTTATTTGTATGTTTAGCTTACAAAAAAAATAAACAAGCAACCATGTTGCCTACATCTATCCGAAATAATTTACACGTTATGGGATACACTTTATAAAATTCCCATTTTCCAATTACAATTGAATACCGAAATTTTTCTTTTCATTGTATTGATAGATGCACGCACGCATAATACCATTACCATAAAAAGAAAAAAAGTAAAAGTATCTAGTGGGCAGTACGGAATTTGAGCACAGGTAAGATACACCGCCTATTTGAAAGCGTATGTAGTAGTGTAAACAAGAAAAGAATCGAACCGCCTTGATTTTTCTTTATTATGTCGAAATGCGTATGTTACGTGCCGCTCTTTTATTTTCGAGTCTCGCGGGCGTTACTTTGGCGGCAAACGATACGATACGACCTCGACCTGTACGCGCGTCGGCTCTTTTATAAAGATTGAGAAAGGCTTCTCTTTTTTGATAAAATTAATT